TGCGGGCAGGGTGGGAGAGCAGCCTTGCAGAGAAGGCGCAAAAAAAAAAGTAAAATTAAAAATAACTGAAGAACAGCGCAGCAGGAACCGAACGAGAAGTTAACGCCATTTCCCCCTCCTGCCTCCCCTCCTTTTCTAGTCTCTACTCCTCTCGGCCAGGGCAGAGTCAATCAGCTCGGTGGAGTTTTTATCAATGGCAGGCCTTTACCCAACCATATCCGACACAAGATAGTGGAGATGGCCCACCATGGCATAAGGCCCTGTGTCATCTCTCGCCAGCTGCGAGTGTCCCACGGCTGCGTCTCCAAAATTCTCTGCAGGTACCAGGAGACGGGCTCCATCCGGCCGGGGGCCATCGGCGGCAGCAAGCCCAAGGTGAGCGGCGCGGGGGGAGCGCGGGGCTGCGCGCCCGCGCCGCGCTCAGGGTTGCCTGCCTGTTGCTCCTACTCGAGACTTTAAAAAACATGTGTATCTCTGTGTGTATATATTTATGTATTTGAAGTTTTGTGGCCACGATTTGCTTTTCTCAAAAAATGTTAGTTACAAAACAAACCCGAAACAACCCCCCTGTAATGAGCGCGGGCGTTGCATATGGGCTCCGCGGCGGTTTCGTTGCGTGCAGAGCCCTGCGCGGCCCCGTGCGGAGCGGGGCGAGCTCCGCGGATCGGGCCGCGCTGCGGAGCTGCCTTCGCCGCCGCGTGTAAAGTTACTGGGTTGCTTCTCCGTTGCTCTTTGACCAACCGTTTATTTTTCCTATCTGCTCCAGAGCCGCTGTATTTATAGCTGCGCTAGTTAAAACCTTACGCTCGCAATGAGGCGGACAAATACGGGTCCTTATCTCTAGATTATCCTCTTCCTTCTGTTATATCTCTTTATCTGAGCACACACACGCAAAAAGTAAAAGTTTTAAATTTCTGTTGCAAGTTGGCTTGTAGAGATTTTTTTCCTTCTCAGCTTTTTAAAGTAGCAATGCCTGAACTTTTTGTTCCGATGTTAATCTTCAGAGATTTTTTTGAGCTCTATTCGAACGAAAATATTACTCGAACGAAATATTATTCCACGCCAGGAATTCTTTGTTTTCCTTGAATTCAGCTTAACTTTAAAATTTTTCAGGCCACATAGGAAATCTTTCTATATAAGTTTTGGTGCCCATCAGCATTTTTACTACGCGACTTTTTACTTGTTGCTGCTGAATTTGCTCCGCGGAAATTTTGCTGCCTCCGAGTTGCAATAACCGGGACCTCTCCTCTGAGATTTGCCTGGCGGAGGGATCGATCCTTCCTTCTCGTAAAACCCCAGAGGATTTTGTGGGAAGTTTTGCTTAACTCGGGGCGCTTGTGCTGTGTAGACCCGCTATTATGTGTTACGCCCCTTCTTATTTTAACTTGTGCCTTATGCCTGTTCTTCATATAACTCGACCCTCCTCGAGCGGTTTTTAAAACGGATTTTAAAAGCGGGTTTTAAAAGCAAGGCCGTTTCCGCTCTCACTGGCAGCAGCGAGAACCGGGCGGCTGCGGCAGAGGTGCCGGGACCAGCTTCGGGACCGGCCTCGGGAGTTAGTGCGGGACCGGGTCGGATCGGGGCAGCCCGGCGCTCCCCAGCCCCGCGACCCCCGCGCCCGCTCCGCTTCTCTTCCCTGAAGCAGGTGACGACGCCGGACGTGGAGAAGAAAATCGAGGAATACAAGAGGGAAAACGCGGGCATGTTCAGCTGGGAGATCCGGGACAAGTTGCTCAAGGACGGCGTGTGCGACCGCAACACGGTGCCGTCAGGTACGCGGAGCGGCGGGCGGCCCGTGGCGAGCGGAGCCCCCGGCCGGGCTAGTGCCGCGCCCCGGGGCGGGGGGAGGTTTTGCTGCCCTC